TGTTCTTCTAATAAATATTTTTTTTTTTCATCTTATAAACTCTTATTTTTGGGAAAACCAAGTTTTTTTTGGGAGGAAAAAGATTTTAAGTCAAATACATGTCCAAAAAAACAATGCTTCTTTAAATCAGAGATGTGGCATTTTCGAAAAAAAAACCTTAATTCCTTGCTGAGATAATTCATTCAAATATCTTGGTTGTTGATCTTTCCAACCCAGAGCACTTTACACTTCCACGTTTAAACCCTTTGTTAAAGTATAAATATAATTCATGATTCATCAAAAAGTATTTTTAGCAAAAATTCAGTTTTCCCAAACACTTGTTTAGCTGATAAATCAATCAATGATATTATGGAGAAATATCTTTTTGATAAAACATCAATCTTCTTAAACGTGTAATGAATCACTGTTTTGCAAAGAAATTTACAAATGTTGTTGATGAAGAACATGAAACTACATTTCTCAGGGTTTTTTTTGAGAAAAAAAAAAAAATTGGTTCACAGTGATTTAACAATAATGTTTGGGAACAAAATCAGTCCACCTTTCGAAATTAAAACTAACATTTTGTTGAAAATCTTGTTCTCGAGGGCCGGAGCATGGGGAAGAAATGATTGAGGGTTATGCATTCATAAAAGTAATTGAAGCTTTTTTAAAATTTAGAATTAGATATATTTTCAAGATCCCCCCTGGTACTTTTCACCCCAAAAATCAGTTTATTTACCCCAAAAATTAGCGAGCAAAACCATAAAAAACAACACTAAATTTGAGGTAAAACTGATTTGGGGGGGGGGGTTATTTCAAGAAAATATTTACAGTTAGGGCTGCATCTGTACAACTTATATTAAAACAAATATATTGTACATAACGCTATCTTGATGAAATGTATCTTCATTCTCATGCAGGATCCATATTTAGAAATATTTAGGTTCCCTCCCTATATCTGTCATGCAGGTTTATATTTTCATGATTTCAATTCTTCGCTTGATTTATTGATTACTGCTCTTCATTGGCCCGCCTTTCATGCCCGCCCACCTCCTTTGTCTGAGTAGTGACCGTTCTTGTATTCTATAGATCTGTTTGGAGCCATATTGCAATTTTTTGTGCGCATTTACTAACAAAGAGTTTAACTCAATGATTCTAAAAGCGTTTATTACATCTTAATTTGGTCAATTAATTGGAAGAAAATTTACATAAATACTTCTTGAAGGAGATGATTTATTTGGTGTACTGTACCGTTTTGTAGTACAGTATAACTGTACTATTTGCTCTGCCTTCTTTTAAGTCGGTTCGGTGTTTTAAATGAATCGGACTTTTCAGTGAAATTGCAATTCTGCAGTGTGGACTCAATTAACAAAATTAAAGATATTTAATTTGAAAATTTTTTTTGGATCTTTCGTGTGATTGTCTTTCATAAGTTTGTTTTTCAGGATTTTGTATTTCAAAAGTTAGTCTTTCAGGATTTTGTCTTTCATATGTTTGTTTTTCAGGATTTTGTCTTTCAGAAGTTCGTTTTTCAGAAGTTTGTTTTTCAGGAGTTTGTCTTTCAGGAGTTTGTCTTTCAGAAGTTTGTATTTTTAGGAGTTTGTCTTTCAGAAGTTCGTCAATGAACTCAATCCATATATGAATAAAAACTACAAAGTAATCGAGTTTTTGCCACAAACCCTGATTTTCTAATTCCTATATCTTAGAACGTTGAATTTTCAAGCTCTGAATTCTGTGAGATTACATAATTTAAGTTTGAAATAGTAAAGATTCACACCATTAGGTTAAAAAGATATAGGGATTGGAAAATTCGAGTTTGTGACAAAGACTCAATTCCTTTCAGAAATTTAACTTTGATGTTAACATTTTATTTGAAATGAAAGAAAGAATTGCAAAATACAAGAAACGTTAACATGCAAGATTTTAAACACATGAACCAAAAAAACTTTACACGAATTGAATGAACATGAGACACATGAAATATTTAAGTTTAAAGGGAGTGTTCGCGAAAAATTAAAGGGGGTATAGGCTTAGTGCGATAAAAAATCGCTTTTGATCGCTACTAATCTTACTTCTATCTGTTGCGTCTATAAGGAGAAAATTGTTAAAGACGTCTCATACCGAATAACTTAGCGGCCATACAAATTCAGAAAATTGCAACATACTACTTAGACCGTAAAAAAATCAATTTAATTTCAAACAAATCATTTAGATATTACAACCTATAGTTGTAATATCTAAATATCATAGTTGTATAAAGTGTTACAACCTATAGTTGTAACATCTAAATGATTTGTTTGAAATTAAATTGATTTTTTACGGTATAAGTAGTATGTTGCTATTTTCTCAATTGTATGGCCGCTAAGTTATTTGGTATGAGACGTCTTTAACAATTTTCTCCTTATAGACGCAACAGATAGAAGTAAGATTAGTAGCGATCAAAAGCGCTTTTTTATCGGATATAGCCTATACCCCCTTTCATTTTTCGCGAACACTCCCTTTAAAGATAAACTTTAATGTCAAATAATGTAGCTCATAGGCCTTGATACATCCCTGAATCTGCGTTAATGTTTTCTTTTTTAATGGATTTTTTCTTCCTTTTTTGGTGGGGTTCAATACTTTTCTTCTCCAAGTCTATGAAGGACCTTCAGCTGCTGAAATCGTGATAATATAAAAAATTATTTTTATACTCACGTTTTCTTGTAATAACGATTTAGACACATTACCTACACAGTAGATGACCTTCGACGACCTGAGTTGCGCCTTTAGTGTGATGTAGGGTATGGTTAAGGGTGTGTGTGAATCAAGGTATATTATTACTCGTATATTCTCAAGATTAAACTACTCAATACCAACCTATTTTAAATCATTATTGTAATATACATCATTAGGTTTAGGTATACAGCTAGATAGGTAGATAGCCAGGCATTAGCTAGATAGTTAGATTGATTGATAGATGAATAAGATGGCAAATATCAATGCTTTTTTCAGAAATGAGCTAAAGCCTTTAATCGAACTGAACAAGTGTCAATAAAGCTTTATCTATAAAGTGTTACTCTATTGTGCATTTTTGGCACATTTTCAAGCTTTATAATTTGCACGTGAATATTTGCAAGGAAATGGGGCGAAACATTTTCTTAGCCTTGCTAATTTGAATTCGAATGCATAGAATTGTTCAAGAACTCGCGTTCAACTTTAGCCTAGATTTTAAGATGTTTTGAGAAAGAACTGATTTCTCTCCTTACAATCTAATTTTCTATTTCCTATATCTTCACAACCTGACATTGTAAACCTTTAATATCTTAAACTAACATTCTGCTAGATAAAGCAGTCAAAATTTAAAATACAAAGGCCTTACACTATCAGGTTGCAAAGATAATCGGATTATAAAATTAGAGTTTGAAATCGTTTCCTTTTTCGTTTTAGTTTAATTTTTTAAAACACAAATGTTATATAAATAATACATATGTTTATCTTCTTGATAGAAATATTTAACTTCTGGTATAGAGAAAATATTTTTATAAAATTAAGTTTGCATTTGAAAACGAATAATTTTAAATGAATTAAAATGAAATGAAATTGAATGAATGAAATGAATTAAAAATGGAGTCCAAGCAAGATATTTGTTTTAGATTTCTTTGATCGATCTAAAACAATAGCTCGAAAACTTAAAATAAATAGATTTTAGATTCTATTCCAACCTTTTGAATTTTTGTATTGGGTATATTTTAATTTTGATAAAAAATGCATCAAATTTTGGAAATTTTAGTTTTAAATTGAAAATTGTCTTTACAGGTGTTTTGTTTAACAGTTTCCTGCTATTCAGTAAATTACAAATAATTTTACAACTGTAATAAAAGTATTTGGGGCAAATAACCCAAATGCATTAATGATGGCAGGATTTGCAAAATAAAGTGGAAGGAAAAAGGGGGGTTCAGCGTGAGGAGGGGGTGCAGATACATAATGAAAATAATTGATGGGTGGGGGTCTTGATTATTTTAGTTAAAAGATGGCATGTGAATAAAGAAAACTTAACACAAACATAATTAATACATTCTTGTGTAATGTTAATGTTTAAGCTAAAGGAATTGAGTTTTTGCCACAAATTTAAATCTTCTGATCCCAATATCTTTGCAACCTGATGGTGCAAACCTTTGATATTTCAAACTTTGCTTATTTTATCTTTAAGTATTAATAGTTTGAAATATCTAAGGTCTACGACATTGGGTTACAAAGATATAGAGATTAGAAAATCAGAGTTTGTGGCAAAAACTCAACTCCTTTGTTGATATCTGAAAATTTTACCAATATGGAGATAACTGGATTTATTTTCATTCAGAGAAATGTGTTTTTTTTTCGTGGGGGATGTTTAATGTTAAACATAAATCTTCCTCCTTTAAACAACTGTATTCTCTGAAATTCATTTCACGATTTTAACATATAAAATGAAAAAATATTGATGAGTAAGAAATCCAATTTTTTTCTTGATTTTTATATTTTGGTCCCACAGGAAGTTTTAAAAAGATTATTTTTTTCTAAACGAACTTATTACAATTCACTTTAAAATTCAGCAGTTATTACTATCATCGCAATGTTTTTGATTGGGGCTTTTTTAGAAAAAAAAAATCAAATTCATTCGTTATTCATTATCCCATTTAAAAATATCATTCTCTGCAATTCAATTTACGGTTTTAATATATAAAATGCAGCAAATATTGGTATGATAGTACTGAAAAATTCGTTGATTTTTCTCTTGATTTTAATAGTTTGATTACATATGATTATGAATTGAGGATTTAAAAGATAATTTTTTTCTGAGCAAAATGTTACATTTCCATTTAAAATTCACGTGAAAAAGGCTGGGGCAGTTTATCCCAATTTATTTTACTGTTTGAACAAATTTAAAGAATCAAATATTGATTAGAACTGAGAAATCCTTTTTTTCTCTTCATTTTTATAGTTTGGTCACATTCACATGTGAAATTCAATCTAAAATTCAGCAGGTTTTTTTAATTAACGAATTTAAAAAAATATAATTGTTTAGATATCTGCAACATCCCAAGGGGAAGTATGTGATGATGATGTATGGTTACTATGAGAAACATGATCACACACTTCTAGTCACAGAGTATCTCAGAGGTGGAGAACTCTTCAAACAGGAATAGAATTTAATGAATTTGAACTGCCTACCGCCGGTACAAATCCTTCCTTCATCTCTAACTTTGAATCCGTTCCCTGGAAACCCTAATTCGGTTGCAAAGATATAGGGATTAGAATAGCAGAGTTTGTGGCATGAACTCAGCTTCTTTGAATCACCGTTTCAAATCCTGTCTTAATCTTTAACCTGAACCGGCTGTTCAAAGGAGTTGAGTTTTTGCTAAAAAATCTTATTTATAATCCGTAAATCTGTGCAGCAATCAGATGTCGCAGACGTTTGAAATACTAAAGGTCAACACCATCAGGTTGAAAAGATATAATGGTAAGAAAATTTGTGTTTGTAACATAAACTCAATTCCTTTGAACTGGTAGTAAGTAGTTCAGTAAAGTAGCTCAAATTCATTAAAATTTTGTCCCAGATCACAGAGCGGGGATTCAATCTAACCGAGAAGAAAGTCAACATATATGTTCTACAGATAGTTCAGGCCCTCAATTATATTCATGACAAGAGGGTGGTTCATCTTGATATTAAACCACAGAACATCATGCTTCAAAGTAGAAATCAGGCAGGGGAAGATGTCTTTAGATTCAGGATTCTACGAAATATTTTCTGAACCAGTACGTAACAGTTGAAAACCATGATGGGGCAAAGATTAAAAGTAGAAATGGGCAGCTCTGAAAGGGCCAAATTGTAGTGCGGGCATGAAATGAATCCTCCCCCCCCCCCCCACCATATAAATAAATTTTTGTTGCTTGCAGAAATTGAGGAACATTTATTTACTTTTTTGTTTACGTACTCAGTATTAGCTAGTTCAGTATATTTTCGGACATTCCTGTATTCGGAAAGTTCTTTTTCTAAAGGCATCTCCTCCAATGGAATCAGGATGTCATCAAACTTATTGACTTTGGTCTCGCCAGAGAGCTTTCCTCGTCGGGAAGAGTGCAGGCCAATATTTGTGGTACTATGGGGTTTATTGCACCTGAGGTTCTCAACTGCAGATATGCTTCGCCAGCCACAGACTTCTTCAGTCTTGGAGTTGTCATCTACATGCTCCTATCTGGGGGACATGAACCTTTCTGGTTTAAGGTATAAACAATATCGGTCTTATGGTATTATTCCAAAGGCATTTTCCCAAGTGCAACTTCCCAAATTAGCACCACCCAGCTGCTGTATTGGGACCGAGAGCTGCGGCTAGGATGGACTAGGGGACTGAGCTCTGCGGCTAAAACAGGCTAAGAAGGGGGGGGGGAGCTGCGGCTAGAACAGACTTGGGAAGTTACCGTTTGGGAAATTGCACATTTGGTAAGTTGCCACTAAGGAAAATACCCTTGGGAAGTTGATGCTTGGGAGCCTTTGGGAAAGTACCTAACTTAACATCGCAATATCTACTTTGAATGACTTTTGTTGTAATTTAAAATGACACTCATTTTAAAAGCGACATGTCTCACTCACATTGGTAGCTTTTGTTTTTAAACCTTTATCTGATCAAAAATATGATATCGTCGTTCTTCTAACTTGTAAAGCGTTGATTTTAATCCCACTGTTTCTGGAGTTACCCCAAAAAAATGGGCCAGATAGTTTAAACTGTTTTTGCTTTTATCGGTTACAGTCAAACATTAAAACAGGCATATTTATTGGATCATATTATTCTTTCTAAAGAAAGATATGTAATAAAAAATAAACGCTTAAAAATCTGTTTTAAATTTTTTTCTATTTATTATTTTACTTTTACTAAAATTTAATATCATTATTATATTTTCTTAATGATTACTTTTGTGCAGGATGACATGACAACATCTAAGCGTACACTTCACCTGCCTCCAAACTACAGCTGCATTAAAAGGGTGTCTCAACAGGCCATTCATTTCATTGACGGACTTCTACAGAAAAAACAGGTAAACTTTTTCCTGCTAACAAATTATTTTTACTGATGTTTAAAAGTGTCCTGGCAAAAAAACTAATAATTTAGAGCTTACTAATAATAACTGTGGTCCTAGTAACAAGATTTACTGTGAGATATGTAAAGCTGCATCTATTTATTTCATTTTTAGGTAGAAGAAATGAATAAACAGAGTGGGGTGGTTTTAAAGAAGCTAAACTTTTTTGTGAATTTCTCCAGAAAGGAATTGAGTCTTTGCCACAAACTCAAATTTTCTAATCCCAATATCATTAATACCTATTCATGTATAAACTTTTGATATTTCAGAGTTAGATTATTTGATCTATCAGAAATCATAGTTTGAAATATCTAAGGTCTACTACAATGGATTGCAAAGATATTGGAATTAGAAAGTGAAAGCTTGTAGCAAAGGTTGAATTCCTTTATGTATTTTATTTGTATTTCTACTTAAATTAAAATTAAAATTAAAACCCCATATAAGTCTACAGCTATATGCTATCTTAAACGTATGTTAGCAGATGTACTGCGCTTTAAATCTCAAATAGTTATTTTGATATTCCGTAAGCATTTCCCCTAAAAAACTTTGTATATTTATAGGAAACACGACTTCATGGAAAGGACTGCTTATCCCACCCCTGGCTATCAGGGAAGGAGTTGGTTCAGGATACTGTTCTTGAAACAGCCAAGATGAGAAGCTATATGGCCAGAAACCGATGGAAGAAAGCCTTCAAGTGTATACGTGCTACTATCCGAATGAAAGCCTTGGGAGAAAAGATCGGACCCTACAGATGGTCCCAGGAGATTCCCTGTGACGTTTAAACATTAGCAATCAAAACACTGTAAGAAGAATTATCAAATGACTGATAGAATGTCGAAATAACTTTTTTTATTTTATGTTCATGTTATTTCCAATGTCCAGCAACATCAAAAAGTTATTAGATATCACGATCACAAAATGTTAAGAAATGTTTGTAATTTCAAAATCATTTCAGTTACGAGACAATTTATACTCACTATAAATTTTCTGGTTTACGTAATGGAAACCAAAACTTTTCCAGTTCAAGAAACGGAATCCGGAATTTTTTACGGTTTAAGGTATGGAATCCGGAATTTTTTTGGTTTGAAGAACGGAACCCAAAATTTTTTTCCGGTTTCCAAAACATAAACTGAAAAACTTCCGGTTTTCATTTTAATCAGAAATTATCCCGGATTTACGGAACAATTTTCCATTTCCAAAGTCTTCTACTTATCCTTAAAAAAACATATATCTATGAAATTATAACTTTAGACGCTTTTATGTATATAGTCGTCGTCTTATATAGAATACAATGAAGACGAATTTCGATTGAAATATTTGATTTCAACGAAGCTGTCAAACAGTTTAAACATGGAAACAGATAGAAGCTGTCAATTAACAGCTCTCTTTGTTAGCTTGTAAACTTGTGATAAAACTCAGAAAAGTCGTCTTCATTGTATCGATATAAACGCTGACCACTGTACAGAAACATAGTTTTATTTTATGTAAAAATAGCTTGAAAATTTTACGCAAAATAAATCAATTTTTTCTGTGAGTTTCATGCAATTATAAGTTGAAAATGTTACGAAAATTGCCCCCCTCCTCACCCCTCATTGAAATTGTGGTCACAAGGGAGTCAACATTGAAAAAAAAGATTTTGAGATCTCAAAAATTTAAGAAAAAAAATCTCTACTTCTCGAATATGGGTATTATTTGTACCAAAACACAATAAACCAAAGATTACCAATATAAGAGGATTTTTTACAGAAAACGTGATTTTTTTGGCTTTTTTCAAAATCCTCAATGGGGAGGGGGAGAAATTTGACATTAAATTTTGTACAGAATGTGTTTCCTTCTAAAAATCGAGATAAAAGGCCCAAATTGTGTATGCAGCCTCTGCATACACGGACTGAGCACTTTTCAGCTTTTAGCGTCTTCTCAATTTTATTTTCAACTTCGGAACAGTAGAACCTAGGTTTAGCGGGATTTGGGGATCATATTTTTTGCTGTTGTAAATCGATAAATAAAGGGTTTAAAGGCACTGTTGTGAACTGATTAATAAAAGGTTTAAAAGGTACTGTTGTGAATGGAACTTACAATCTAGAAAACTGTGTTAGGTCGAAAAGTTGTTTGAACTGAAGTCTAAAGCAATTTAATTTTTCTGAAAATAAATATTCGTCTGGTTAAATAAGTTCACTATTTGATTGCAAATGATTCACTGAAATTATGTTTAAATGGGCTCTTTTAATGCACTTAAAGTTTTATTAGCTCCATGAGGTTATTGTTTACGTTTATGCAAAATCCTTGGCAAGGTTTGGTTTGGTGAGTGGACGGAGTATTCAACGGAGGTACAGTTTGTCGGAGACGACCTTACAACAGGGGAAATTTGAGGGATATGGTTCACAAATACGTGGTACAGAAACGATATGTACAGTCAATTATTTATGCCTGCATAGGAATTATTGTTAATCTAACGTTTGAGTTTTGACACAAGTTATATTCAAACAATGCCTGGAAGGTTTTCCAGACTAGCTTTGTGCTGTAGATCACCGTGAGATCCCGTTAGATCGGCCGTGAGATATTTGTTAAAGCTGACTGAGATGTAGATGGGGGAATAAAAGATGTAGGATCAAACTGTACAGATAGGAAGCCCTAGTGAAGATATTTCGCATCAAATTATCAATCAGTTGAAATCAAGTTAACCAACACCAATTATCTTCCTCAAATGAATACATTTTTATGAATTCTGTATATTGACCTGCTTGTGTTTGTAAGACAACCCTAGCCTCTTCTGGAGCCTCGATAACTCCGGGTTATACGGATCACTCTTGATGATCAACTGCAATTATTGAATCTAATGCTTTATATGATCTCCGAACAAAGTTTTGATAACTATTTTGTACCTTGAATGTTTTGAACAACGGATCACTTATTGAGATAGGATTAGGGAATCTTAAAGATCTTGATCTCCCATGATCATCTGCATCCGAGGAGGTTAAAAGCATCGAATTTTGATAATTTTGATAATTCACATATTAGTTTCCTATGACCAGAATATTTCATTGATTATTTATGTGAAAGATGGATCCCATGTCAGGCTTTGACATCCGTCTTGTGTTTACATTACCGCCCATAGACAGTACACATGCAGTACAAAAGATGTGTACACTTCTGAAATAACTTTCCTTGCATTAAATCCAATAATTACGCGTAATTATAGTTTTCATTATTATGCATAATCATTACAAAATTTCGCGAAGTTACGTTGTAGAAATTACGCGAAATTACGCCGTAATTTCGCAAAATGGATATTTCCCCAATTACGCGTAATCCTGCGAAATTACACGAAATGAAAATTATTACGCGTAACTGCACGTAATTACGCGTAAGAGAATAATCTATTACGTTGGAAACCCTACATCATCTCCATTATGACCTCGAAAGAATCAGGATGACTAAGAAAATGTCATGTTCATGGTATAAAACTTACGCGTTCAAGTTTTTTTTTATGGGGGCAAAACTTCTAAATTTTGGACAGCATTTATATCTAAAAAACTAGGGGCATTTTTTTAGATAGGCCAACTATAACATACTGACAACATTTGCAGTTCCTGCGGTAGGTTGGATCAATAAAATAGAATGTACATCCGACCTATGATCGTTTGTACTATAATATTCCTGGCGCGTGAAAATAAATGTTCCTTAATCTGGAAAATAAAAATTAAGTTCAATCGAACACAGTAAAGCTCGAATTTGTCCATTTGCACTAATGTTTGATCGTACTACAAACCGGTTACTGATCATTTGACTTTAGCGCAAATGTACGTATCCATGGTTCAATTCGACATTAGTGCAAACGATATAGCATCATTGAAGCATCATTATTATTATTGAATATTCAAATCTATTTATTGATCAAAATGGTACAGAGCAAATGACAATAAACTTTATATATATATTATCGATATGTACATTTTGATTTTTATTCGATTTTATAAAATGTGCAGAAGAAAACAACAAGAAATATATCGGTAAATATTAATAAAACAAAACAAAAAATGAGACGGATGGCGACAATTGCCGAGAGAGATGTTATTGGAGAACCAGCAGCTTTGCACTATTGTTTCTTTTATAGAGTTAAAATCATTTGAAAGAAAAATACAGTTCTGCAACATCAACATAGAGTTATAGCTTTGCACCATAAAAATAAAACGCCTGCGGATAGAGCGGTAATTGTAGATCCAATAGCTTTGCACCATTGTTTCTTTTTAAGGTTAAAATTATTAGAACCTGGAAATTTTTGATAAACTCGAAATTCCATTTAAGACATAGAAATGGAAGCTTAAATGACGGATAAATTCTGATAAATTTTAGTAAACCAAATTTATGAGAAAAAGATTCTAATATACCCGAAATTCAATTTAAGAAAAAGAAATGAAAGTTTAAAAAAGGACAACTTCAGATAAATTTTTGTAAACTCAAAATTAAGAAAAACTCAAAATTTTGAAGATCTCGAAATTCATTTTAAGCATTAAAATTGGAGGCTTAAATGTCGGAAGAATTCCAATAAATTTGGATTAACTTGAGCTTTTGCTACACTCGGAATTCAATCCAAGAAATAGAAGAGGAAAGTTCACCAATATCACATTTTCGTTCTGGAGATCATTGATTGTTGGTTTCTAGCGCTTTGATCTATCTGTTGTAGTGCTTTCTCTTCCTGCTTTCCCTTTCCTTCTTTTCGATCTCTAGAGCTAGAACTTTAGGAATATCTTTTGATTCGACAATTCCGTATAGAACCTTGAAAAACATCAGCACCGCCTTACCCATCCTCAATCTTGAGCTGTCGTTTAGGTGAACCATCTCGGTGTAGATCTTCTCTCTCCATTGTGGATCTTTGTACTTGGTACATATTTCCATCAGGTTTCGGGGCCCATAGAAGGAAGGATCTAGTTTCTTAGTTTTGAGTCCCCAGGTATGAAAAGTGGGAGCCTTGAAGAATTTAAGCCTAGGATCGCCTCGGTTAAGTTCTCTGATCATGTTGGTCAGTGTACTGAGAGTTTCGAACCTGTTGTCTTGAAGAACTCTTTCTTCATACGGGAGAACTGCAATTTTTGGTGGGAAGGGAGGAGTAGCTACGGAGAATGTAGATCTGCCTCCAGCTCCTGCTCGAGTCTTCATAGAGAGGACATCATTCTTGAATTTTCTTAGATCTCGGATGATCTTTGGTGCATCTTTACCTCTCATTACATCGTTGACCGTTCCTACAACCCGAACATCAACCGGGGTGGAGCTAGAACCGAACTCTGCCATAAATGCGTGATGGAGAATCCTTACAGTGCCTCCTGGTATACCAATTATATCCACATGGATGTCGTCTCCTGGGTATTCATTTACACTTCTATCTCCCTGCCAGTTATTCAGTAGGCTGGAAGTCACCAAAACCAGATGTCGGATACCAGTCTTGAACGAATGGAGGTGAGTCTTGCAAGAGGAACATGGATAAACTCCCCACCTTCTTGGAGCGGAGGACATTCGCAAGGATTTTGAAGAATTATGATTGTGGAAGATGACCTGGCTTTGTGGGAAGAGAGAGGAAGAATATTCGGAACATATGCTGCAGTATTTCTTTCCAAGATGAAAATTTTTCTTCCTGATATCTCTGTAGTTCTTGACTTTGGATTTAACAAAAGTAGCAAGCTCCGTAGATTTTCTTTTTCTACTAATCTCTTCCAGTATTTTCTCCAGGGAACTGTTCGGATCCAGATTCTCTCCTGGGTAAAGCGAGGTTCCGTAACCCGGAGGAATCGCTGGTGGGGGACTGCTGAGGTCAGGTAGCTTAAACATGGAGCTCGTCCTCTCTTTTGTCTGCGGACTAGGGTGCTTGTGAACCGAGATACTCAGCTCCATCTGTAATATATGTAGGATTAATACCGGGAAAAGGCTGATTTTAAATCTCAAAAATATTGCAATATTAGTAGTACAGGTTTTAAAATGATAAGTATAGGAAGTAGCATTTTAAGGATGGGCTTGTAAGTCCAAGTTAAAAGAGTCTTCATTTAAGTAATTTAAACGTTTATCTTTTTCAAATGCCATTTTGTTAATATAAATCTCATTCTTAAACCAAGAGTAAAAAGCATTAAGAGTTAAAGTCTTTTTTAAGCATCTGAACCTCCAGATAAAGAGTTTGGTGTAAAGTGCCAGTAAATTATTAGGAGAATGTACAGGCAAATTACGCTCACCAAAGATAAAGTCTTTTTTGCTAGGTACCATGCGAATTCCTACCCATATTTGAGTAAAGAAATCATAGACTTCTGAGATAAAAGATTGCACTAGGGTGCAGTCATATAAGAGATGAGAAATGTTTTCTACATGGATTCCACAGAATGTGCAATTCTCACCGACATTATTTATAAATTTTGAGATAATCCTATTTGTTTTCAAGGTGCCTCGAGTAACTTGGTATTGGAACCATTTTAGTCTATTGTCAATAGCATTTCTCCCAAAAGTGAATACCTTGCACTGCTTCCAGTTCTTCCTCCCATTTACGTTCTCTCAATAAAAGATTACTGTTAGAATATTCGAGTGACTTCAAAAGTTTTGACCATTTGTTGCATCCTTTTGATGAGTAAGAGATCAAGTTAAGCATTGGTGGCAAAATAGGGTAAATTAGAGGTAAACTTTCAACTGTAACCCCCAATCTTAGTAATGCAGATCTTATTACGTGTTTAATCGAAATAAATGAAAATAAATCGGGTGGTTCATTGAATTTTTTGGAAAATTCGTCCTCCAGCATAAATCTAGTACCGTTTACAGTTTCAATAAGGATATCAGCTGGATAGCGGACTAGTCTTCCAACATTGCCAAAGTTCCTTTTTGAGCAAATAGCCGAGTTCATAATAAATACGTTTGAACCCCAGATAGGATACAAAGTGAGATTTTCAGGAGCGTTTTTTAGGTGCTCCAGCATGAGAGGTTTATTTGAACGTAAGCATTCGCTCCAGAAAGAATTTGACAGTTTTTTACTCATTTTGTCATAGTCTACTGTTCCTACATTTGAACAAAAATCATCTAAATTAAGATTAAAATTTTCTTCAATGTTCAAACTAAAGATATCTTTCCATGCTGAATGGCTATGCACCAGTCTTCTGAACCATGAAAATTTGAAAGAAGTCCAACTGGAAGAAATATCCGGAAAACCCAAGCCCCCTCTGCTTTCAGGTTGTTTTGCATCACCCCTGGCCACTTTCTCTTGACCCCCCAAGATAAAAGTGTATATTTCAGTTTCAATTTCTTTTAGTTTTTTCTTATTTATTCCGGGTAGTACAAAAGCTAGGTGAGAGAGTTTAGATAGTAATAGTGTTTTGGCTATGCATGCACGCCCTAGAGGGCTTATGAATCTGTACTGCCAATTTTTCATAATTGCTCGAATCTCCCTTAGCTTTTCATAATGATTAACGTCCATATTTTCAAGTAAACCGTCAAACTGTATACCCAGCAACTTAAAATTTTGTTCCCAGCGTATTGAAATATGGTTGCATAATTTATACTCTCCATTAGGAATAAGCCCAAAGACGACACATTGCGTTTTATTAAGATGTATTTGTAGGCCTGATACTTTAAAAAACTCATCTAAAACTGTAATTGTGTTTTCAAGATTATTTGAGTCATATTCTAGAAATATTGAACAATCGTCTGCATAAAGAGATAGAAGTATTTCGAGTGTGTCTAGTTTAAAGCCCTTAATATTCTGATCCGTTCTCATTTTAATGCAAAGAATTTCTATGGACAATACAAAAAGGGCTGCTGCAATAGGGTCACCTTGTCTACATACATCCTTGAAGCATCATTGACTAAAGCCTTTAATTGTCGTCGTTTTCAATACAAAGACGATCTTTTTTGGCGCCAAATTATAGTTGGCGTCTTTTCCTAAATTTTCCGATTTTAACCTCTAAATTTATACAAAAATTAATATCAAATTTTTATTTTAAATTTAATGAATTCTTAATTATTTCTATTAATTTCTGTTTCTAGACTTTTAGATTTTAAGTTTGAATTTCCCGCGCTCAATAGTCGAGCTTGTAGCAACCCTGAGGAACTGACGCGACAGCCATATTGAAAATCTTAAGAAATTTTATTATTGCGCATCAAAATACTATTTTTGGTAATAATTTCCAAAATGTGTGAGATCTAAACCTAATAAGACTTTAAGTGGTTGTAATTTGTAAATTTTAGTGAAACTAGTTAATTCAATATTTCTTCTAAGAAAAGGATTCAAGTGAAATTAATGGATTTGAGTTCTACCTCGCGGTCCAGTTAAAATGGCTATCCCGCGCTCTCGTAGACACAAACCACTACAATAACTAGACTTAAAAGTGATAAAACAGTGAATTTAAATGTGATCTTGAATCGTAAAATGTCATCAAGATTCGTGATTGTATTTTTTCCGTGAATGTTTTGCCAGTTTTCACTTTTTGTTAATTAAATTTAAATGACGCTTAATTCTAGCACGCTAACCGGTTAGTAGCTTATATTTGGACGCTTCTCATCATTTTCTCAAAAGGAACATAAATAATATTGTATATATAAGATGGGAGAATGTAAATAAAAAAGTTTTAAATTACAGGATGCTTCACAAAATACTTTTGTACATTATTCTCTCCTGTCATTAAATATGGGATCTGTCCCAGTGAACCCCCCCCCCCCCCCNTCAACGATTTTCAATTAAATTAGTATTTATTTAGGTTAGGTCAAGACACTTTCTGGGCCGAGCGCTGCAGCTGGGACAGGCTAGGGGGCCTAGCGCTGCGGCCACATGTCTTACATTTAAGATTCACGTCATTTAAGATCCATGTACAAAATTGATATGGGGGGGGGGGTCAACAAATCGTTCTTTAGGAATATACCTTAAATATGTTCCACGACATTTTGACTACAAGCGTAATTTTAAGTGACCCTCCTAAGTAAAGATGTTACAGCCCGATTCACATCGGTGAATGGATACCTAAAGGTTTCCTCTTCGATATCTTTTGAAAAAGGTGAATTTTCAGAATTGGTTGTTGCTGTGGTGAGCTGTAGTCTCAATGTAAGATGTTTGTTGTCTGCACAGATTCTGCAGAACAACAGCTGTACAGTTCTTTAATTCTTCATTCTTATCAACACATTGTCAGGTACAAGATCCTGGAGAATGGTTATTGGACCCCTCCCCCCCCCCTCTTTTTTACAGGGTTTATATGAAGAGACAAAGTTTGATATGTTGCCGCAGCGCCCGGCCCCTATCGTGTTTTTTTAGCTGCTGCACCCGGCCCCTAGTCTGCCCGAGATGCAACGGTTGGGCCCCTCCCCTTTTCTGTCCTAGCCGCAATGCTCGACCCAGAACTTGTCATAATTCTTACACCATACCTGAGCTCGTTCTCTCCATAATAATGTTTGAACAGTGGTCGTGAAGTTCACGTACTTTAGGGGACGATAGTTTGGCCGCTAGATGTCTCACGTAAAATTCTTATCTGATAGATAGATAATTCATACGAGAGACATCTGGCGGTTAAACTATCGTCCCCTAAAGTACGTGAACTACACGACCACTATCTATAGAGTGAACGGGCACTGAAGTAATACAAAATAGATTAATTTTTATAAAGAATCTGGGACAAACTTCAAGAATACAAAAACATGAAATTAAAACTAATTTTGGAAAATTGCGTCCTTTTCGCAGTGTACCATCCCCTATCATGCTTTAGCTGGGGCATTTGGTCCCCGAGGCCAACCTAACAATGTTTGCTAACATATTTTAGAGGTTGTCTGTTTAGACTTTTTTTGTAGGTGTGTCGATATCCCCCCCCCCCCCCCTCAAAAGTCAATTTTTTCCACAATATATTTTCTCCATCTTTGTGAGAATTTTTTTTATTGATTTTTAAAGAGAGGGGGGTAAATGATTTTACAAGTTAAAATACATTCCTATTTATCATAAATTTCTCCTCGTTAGCTTTAATACTATTATTAAAGTGAAAAATTTTACATGGAAAAGCAGGTTTTTCACCCTTTTCTTACTTTTTACCCTAATACATATTTATTTTCCCCGATAACTAATTTATTTTCCCCAATTTAGCCACAAACTAAACAAAAAAAATTTAAATATCAAGTTTTTAGGATAGAAAATCATTTTCAACGGGGTGGGGGGCGGAAAAAGTTATCTCTGGATTAATTTTTGTTGTGTTTAGGTGTTGTTAGATATGAGCAGTCTCCCCTGTGGGGACGGGGAGACTGTCTCCCCTACTCCCCGTCCCTACCAGCCTATACCCTCCCCTCACACAATCCTCTCCCCTTCACACTCACCCTTGAGACCTCTCACACTACCAGATGTTCAACATTCACCGGCCTCTATAGGTAAAACACACTTTTTTAGAGAATCACAAATCAAAATAAACATTTTTCAAAAGTTAATACCATAAGAGTTTTAATCCAGACAAAATTGTTTAATTAATTGTAAATCGGGGATTTTCCTCTTTGGAAGGAGGTCACTTTAAGTTTGAAATTTATAAAGTTTTTGTTTTGTTTCAGGTCGATCTCTTTCCTCTCCAGTAAGAACAAGATCCCCAGGAACAAGTCCTGCAAGGAAAAGGTAAAAAATCTAAATCACAAAAAGAGTTAAATTCCTCGAGGGGGATATGATTCGAAATATTTTGGCATTCAAACTCGAATTTATTTATTAAGCCAAGATAACAATGGTTTTAGTTCAAACGACGTTTAAAGTTTTCTAGCGAAACATATTTGTTTATTATAGCAATGGTCACTACTACTATCTAACTAAGGGTAAAATATTTTTTTTGTAAAATATCATAATGTTCTTAAAGTTGAATAAGTAGATTATCAACTATAAGAGTAGTAAATTGCGAGGGAAAAGGCTGTTAATAATTAATTTATTGGTCATTTGGGCCTGGAGCCATTGGTCAACAGTAATTTTTTTTTGAATAACTTTAATTCTGATGCATTTTATAGATTAAAACTGGACCTTAGCGGACTTAGTCCTGTCTCCCGACAGAAACGCCTGTGTGAGAACAGAATGACGAAACTCCGTCACGTAACAACATCATGTCGGGAAGACCTTACAGAGCTGTACTTCATAACCTCGGGAAGCAACCTAATCGATTTGCCGATGTTTCGAAAGAAGCCGAACCAGGCGTTTATTAACTTCTTGACGACGCAGCAAGCTCCAGCTCGGGTTATTTCAGAGGTTAGTCATTTGAAAAATGTAATTTAAAAGGACTGACAGCGTAGTTTCAAGTGGTCCTTAATGCAAAAATGAACAATGTCCGATTCTCAATGGTACCCTAAAACGCTTTGTCTGAATTAGATTTCAATGTTCATAATTTTGTTTTCTATTGTGGTTTCTCTACAAAAGTGACTTGCGCATATTCACGGCAAGAAAACATATAAGAATTTTCAAAAAAAAAATCCCTTCTAAGCCTAGAAAAACTACAATATCTTCTACATTGTTAATTAAACAGAGCGTTTTAAGAGTACCGTTGTGAACCAGGCATTGGTATATTTGAAAGGTCACTTAAAATTACGCTTACATTCCCTTTAAGATGCCATAATATTTTGGATAAATGTGTTTGTTATCCGACATGGTTTTGGTCGGTTTAATTTCATGTCAGTCGATTAAAACACTCGTTTTTTTAACCTCTCTCATGAGAAAAAATACTAAGTACTTCGTTTTTACTTAACTTTTAAAGTGAGAAATTGAGAAATATTTTGTTAAATCAATTCTTAGAAAATAGTTAACCCACTATAAACTTGATGCATAAGTTTCACATTTCCTAGAACTGCTCAAACTGCGCCAATAGACCGTTTAAACATTTACTTTTTTAAGTTGGGTTTTGTTTCTTCGCATTTATTGTAGATTTTGCTTTACTTGTGCCATTCCCTCTTTCTTGCATCCCTTCCCTGGTTATTTTAGAATATTTCAATCAGTGCTTAGAATCCGCAAAATTTTGGCTTCCTGGATCCGGATCCGTATCCAAAGGGGTAAAATATCTACCAAAAACTGCAACAAAAACTTTTACCTCCTTAAACCCAAATCTGAACTTCTAAAAAAAAAAGAGAGATTATAAAAATATCCTCATTTCTGAATGGTTCACTTAGTTTTAGGGGAAAAAATAAGCGAATAAAAACTAAAATGTAAAAATAAAAATTCAGTAAATCTGGAAGAAATGACCTGGATCCGGATCCGGATTTAAATCCGGATCATTTTTTCCAGTGCGGATCCGCATCAAGATTAAGAAATGGATTCTAAGCACGGTTTTAAATGTTTAATTTTCCCGAACAGAATCTTCCGCGCATAATTTTTTTCCATTGTATGTTAAAATATGTTGAAGATTCATGAAGTGTTTTTTCCTTTAATTTGGATTCCTAATTTTCTCTTTTTTTGTGCGTTTAATTTTTCGCTTTTAACCGGGTTTGCTGATGCAATGCAATCCAGAATTAATTTCTTGACGTCATCATTCCAGACTTAGCTTCCAGTGAGTCATATTTGTCAGGCATGTTCATTGTCCAATTAATCAAAAGATAAAAAAGTTGTACATGAAGAGAGTAAATTATTCATTCATGATCTCAAATATTTTCGTACTTTCTAAAATTAAGATATTTTAACGAGATATTTAGTCATAATCTTTCATTCTAAAATCAAGTAATAGCTATTTTTTAGATAATTTTTACCCATAAATTTATTTATTTCCCTTAAAACAGCCAAAAATATATAACTTCTGTGGTGAAAATTGATATTCTGAAGGAGGGAAAAATTTTTTTACGAAATACACTCCCCTGAGGACTAGTCGTTCCAAAAAAAACTATAATCTATGTACTGCATATTCTTGGATTTTATTTTTGCCGAGTATTAAATTTTACATTAAGTTAAAATGTTAAGGTTCAGACTTCAGTTCTGGGAAGTGCACTCCTCCCACTTGAGGTCAGAAGACACGCCTACTCCCCCAGGGTTGGGGCATTGTCTCCAGTAAAGGTATTTATTTCGAATATTAAAAACTACGGGTTAGGGCTACATATATTTTTTTGAAGAAAGCGAACTTCAAGTAAATATGCACCAAACAACTCGACTGAACAAGCTTTTGGGGGAAATTTTTAAGTTTAAATAATCTAAATACCCGCTTTCTTCAATTTAAGATCAGGGGTACTTAAGTTGAAGAATTACAACATCCCCAGGAAGGGGGGGGGGTGGTAGATAATTTTTAATGAATTGAAAAAAATGTGACAATGCCAATTTCTTCCATTTTTCTACTTCTCCCCAAAAATTCAGTTTTTCCCCCTAAAAATCAGTTATTTCCCCTAATTCAGCGGGAACCCCACTTTTAAACTCCCTATCTAGGGGGGAGGGGGGGTTCAAGAAAACATACAGCATTACACCCCTATTTAAGATTTCTGTATTAAATGTTTAATCTGTGTTTGTTAAGGTTGGATACGACCAGGAGGTTTACTCTCCTAGGTTCTCCAGTTCTCTACCTTGTCCTACACTCCCCCCACCCTCTGCTCCAGTTTACTCCATGGATCAAATTCAGGAGAAGATAAAGCAGGTCAGAGTTTATTTTTATCATCTCATTAGGATGGGCAGTGCTTAGGATCCGGATCCGCAAGATTTTGGCTTCCTGGATCCGGATCCGCAAAAATATGCGGATCCACGGTTCCGGACTCCGAGGGGTTAAATATCAACCAAAAACTGCAAAAAAAACTTTTACTTTTAAAACTCAAATCTGAACTTTTGAAAAAAGAGAGAGATTATAAAAATTTCCTCATTTCTGATGGGTTCATCAAGTTTTAGGATAAAAGCACATCTGCCGTGTTGAGGTCAACCTGTTCACAGATTATATGGAATTGATTGGTTTTAAGATATTTAGACAAATAGGTTTTTTATTCGATGAATGGAATTTAATGGGTGAGTCGGACTTTGTCCTCTTTGCATGGAGGGTCACTTGAAATTCGGTTACAGTCCCTCTAAACATAAGTTTAAACTTTTAACTGAAACAAAATGTATTTTTTTTCCAATGATTAATTAATATCATCTCAAAGGGGGGGACCCTTATGCAAAATAGTTATGCATCAAGATTTTTAAAGTTTTTTTGATTATCTACTGGAGCTATCTTAGTTTTGATTTGCATTAGTCGTGAAAAAAATGGTTCAGTATCACAATCATTTCCCAGCCCATGATAATGGTTAACCAGAGGTTTAAACAAATCAAACCTAACTTTTTGCTCTTTCTTATTAATTAAAGGGACTGTCCACGTAGTTTCAATTAACCCTCCGTTTACAAGAGTTACATGTTCTATTTACAACGTAAACTTTAATCTGAGTAACAATAAGGATGATATCGTCGTTTTCTCTTGATAAGAGATAAACACACTTAACATTCATTGTCATTTTCCATACTCAGCTTGAAACCAAGTATATTTAACATGTTTTTGTTGTTTTTAGGAGGGCTGGGTTCTGTCCCGAGTATCCGAACTTAATAGGGACGGTATGTGGCCGATGAAAAGACTACCAAAGGTAAGAGTTCACTTTCATGACTGAAAGTGTATAATGTATACAAACTTTTTTTCTCAATTTCATCCATTCATCAATTTGATTAAAATAGTTTTTAAAAAAAATAAGTTTTATCTTAAAATACGTTTTTCGTTGTTTTATGTAGGGTAATGTCAGGCCTGTAAGAATGGTCCTAGATTAATAAAAAGGGAATGTAGGAGTAATTTCAAGTGACCCTCATGCAAAGAACGCATTGCAATCTTTGCATTGAGGGTCACTTGAAACTACGCTTACAGTCCCTTTAACTTATTATAAATCAGACCATTAATGATCTTAAACTTAACATTAATGTTCAGGTTGTTGAACAGCCTCGTCCTGTCGCTGCCTGGGACCTTGTACTCGAAGAGATGAAATGGTTGGCCGCCGACTTTCAGCAAGAAAGAATCTGGAAGAAATCGGCGGCCAGGGTTCAGGCGGCAGCTGTGCGAGAGTTTGTAACGGAGAAGCGCGAAGTACAAGCCCAGGAAGAGGAAGAGTTGAGAACAGGGTTAGCTCAGAGGAAGATCGCCAGATCAATCTCAGATCAAATCAAACAGTTTTGGGGCCATGTGTCTTCGCTGTATGAATACGAACTAGTACGGCGACGGACTATTTTTAACACCAACCTTATCAGTACACAGCTCAATCATGTGAGCGAGTATCAAACCAATGGTGAGCTCGATGAGTTACTTTCTTCAAGGAAACGAAAAATTGAGGACTTATCGTCTGGGCGATCAAGCCCCAACTCTGAATTTTCTCCGAGTGAGAATGGAGTTTGGAGTGATGATGATGAGTCAACGATCGCTGAACAGGAAACTTATGAGCTGTTGAACTGTGTGAGTGATAATGAACTGAAAGAGCTGGAAACGGATGCTTCTACGGAGCTCTCAATCCTGTTGAGTGCAAATTATCCTGGTGTGATGACGGACTACTCCACCTCGGAGCAGGAGTACCTGGAGGAGTACTTCGAGGACTCTGACTCCGAGCCCGACTCAGAGCTTGATAGCTTAGAGTCGCATGTTCACCTCTCTATCGATTGTTTACTGAAGGACCGGACAGAGAAAACTAACGGTGACCTAAATAAAAAGGATCTCATTGAAATTTCAGAAACTGCTGAAACCCTTTTGCCCAAATCTGTGATAACCAGCAACGGAAGTGTTGCTACACCTACAATATTGTCGGGACGCTTGTATGAGTATCAGCTCGTTGCCCTAGGCTGGCTGCAGGCAATGTACCGTGAAAAGTTGCCAACAATTCTGTCCGATGATCAAGGTCTAGGACGGAGAGTAGTTACTGCTGCATTTATATCCTATTTAGTTTGCGAGCTGGGCTCTCCCGGACCCCACCTTATTATAGTCCCCGTATCAAGTCTCAAGCGCTGGGGCCGTGTCCTCTCAACTTGGTGTCCCGGTCTCAGGGTATCAGTGTTTTCTGGAAACCTAGGAGACAGGAGAACCCTGAGAAACCAGCTCTATGAGGATAAACCTCACATAGTGTTGACCAGCTACCGAGCCTACTGTAGGTTTAGTCACTGGTTTAATCTCAAGAAATGGGGATTGCTTGTTCTCGCCGAGGTTCAGAACATTGTTGCTGCCGGGTCTCCCGACCAAATCCTCGCTATATCCCAACTTCGATCGGACCGACGTATGTTAATCATGTCCGGGGCTCACAAGGAGAATCCTTATGATCTATGGAACACGCTTTACATGCTCTTTCCTTCAACCTACAACCTTCACTCAGAGTCCTGCGCCCTGGTCGAGGGCACAGCTGAGTATACAGATTCGGTCAAATCCCTTCAGAAAATACTTTGTTCCTTTACCCTCTCAAGAAGCAGAACCAAACACCCGCTGATTGAGAAACAATTATCTCCACCAAATGATGTTCCTACGTTTGTCAATATGTCTTTAAAGCAGAGAAAACTCTACGACGATTACCTTGCCTCTCCTTCAACAAAGGTTAGAATAATTGATTAAAAATGTTAGTAAATTTTTCTTTAGAAGACTAAATAAATTTTTTGTTGTTGTTTTGAATATAGTTCCGTAGTTTTTATTTAGCATTAAATATTGGTATCAACATTTAAACTTCTGCATTTCACCTAACTTAGTATTAGCATGTCAACACTTTCGACACCAAGGTTTTGTATAGACAAAGTTTTATTAATTTTTAAGCCCTTGATAAATGAAGGATTTATAAAACAACCACTGTTAAACCTAATTTAAAAATTCTTTTTTTAAACCTGGTCTTAAGAATAGGACTTTGAGCAACAATTGTGTTTTTTTAGGTTTAGATATATTTTCTATTCTAATAAGAAATGATTATAAAGCCATTATTTTTGAATTAATTTCCTTGACATTTTGATAACCATAAATGTTTCTGAATTGAATTTTTCCCCTGAATACCATGCAATTAAAAAATTGTTTCTTTTTTAGGATTTGTTACATACCGGAGATCTATCATCGGTCTGTACTGTAATCCAACAGCTAAGAAACATCTGTAACCATCCTAATCTAGTCACTTCTCCTACTCCTACTCCCTCCCCTGCCCTACCTACCTGGTGTAGGCTCAACCCTCGCCCTGCCCCTAAGATACAGAAATTGGTTGAATCCTCCCCCCTGGACTCGGTCAGCTTTGAGAACATGAATCTTGTTTTTCTGAAACAAGAACTTACCACCACTGGTAAGTTTAAGATAAACTGGCCACTTTTTTAATATTTCTATTACCCTTAGACATTCAAGTAGTTAACAATGAATTACCCCAGAACCTCGCTCTAGAGTGTGTCTGAGTTAATGAGTTAATGAATATTTTAGTTTTGACATCTGCCCGTCTCCGGAGTATAAAGGCGAGCAGAGAGCTAATCCAGGAGCTCCCGGAGCAGTCTAGCTCTAAATATATACCTCCACGTGTACCTGCTCATAAGATCAGCTTCTCCTTGGAGGGGATTACAAGGACGGTAAATGGATGGAATATTCCGGGAGGTTGGGTGGATGGGATGGGTTTGGTTAGAGCTGCTACCGGCCAGGTCTTTAAGGTTTGCTCTAACCCTCTGGAGAGGAAGGATACTGGCCCGAGTCCTTCTCCGGATGTCTCGGGAGGACTGTATCCGGATAGTATAAGTTCTATCGGAGAAATCAATCACTGGCGGTGTTCCGGGTTTCCACTCTATGGACAGGTAAATTCTTGTGTATGTATTAACTTCTGAAGAAACAGTAAAGTTATTTCAAGGGACCCTTCATTCAAAGATGGAAATGCCCGATTTACATCGGTACCCTTGAACCTTTAAATCTGATCAATATTGTGGAAGATTGTATTATCAAATTTTTAGAGTAGTTAGTGTTTACTAATAAGATAAACTTTCGAAGAAGAGTTTAAAAAATTAATCTGAAAATGACATTGAAATATTTCGAAGGGGGGGGGGGGACAAGTAGTTTCCACATTCAAGCAAAATGTCAACCAAAACTGACATTTAAAAAAAAACACTTTTTGTATTCAACCCCCAAATCTGAACTAATGAAAAAAAGAGAAAATTTCTTTATTTCTTTATTTCTCTGAATGGTTAATAAAATTAATCTTGATCAATTTTTCTTCTGGACGGATCCAGGATCCGGATCTAGATTCGCATCAAAATCAAATGAATCCTAAGAACTGATTTTTTATTATTTTCAGGATCTGATAAAAAGTTTAGAAATTACAAACTCAGCTCGTCCTGCGCGGTCTCGGTTTTCCGGCCAGGGATTTATCAACTGTCTGCTCGCGCTCTCCGGCGCGCCTAGACTTGAGAAGGATGACTGGAGGTTTACAACGAATACCTTGCAGCCTCTGGTTAAAGTGGGCGCGCACCGAGTTGAGCAGCTTCTGCGAACACTCAACTGGACGGAGCACAGTGAGTTAGATCCTAGAACTCATTCTTCGAAACTGCAGGTTGGAGTTTATTCTATTCTTTCCTCTTTCAAATTTGTTACGATTTAATTCTGTATTTCTTATTCAGGGGTGTAAGTATACTGTATACTGAATATTCTAACTCCATTCCCCCCCCCCCCCATAAGGCTGTCCGGGAAAATGAAATAAATATTATGATAAATGTTCTTCCCCAAAAGTTTCTTCACTTCTTGGTGCAACGCTCGCTACCAAATAGGGACGAAAAGTCAACTTACTTTAAAGCAGGGAGAAAGGGGGGTGGGTGTGGGTTGGGGGGAGGGTAAAGAAAATAATTAAAGAAAATATAAAGGAAAAATGAAAGGGAGTATAGACTGAATGCTTATCACTTCAGCTCTTGATCGCGACCCATGAAAGTTATATCTGATGTTCCTATCTCGAGAAATTGATATACAACTTTGTCAAATTTATACGAGAATTAATATATATACAATTTTGTATAAAAGTAGTGGGTTTAAATAGATCAAATTCAGCAGATATGCAACCAATCTGAAAACGATGATATCCCAGAGAAAGCTAATTGTAACTTAAGTTTACTCCAATTCTAATTTTATATTTGTTATTTCTATTTTTAATAGATTTAATTCATAATATTATTTATACGTTTGTATTACTTGACCAGAAATTCCACCAATGGCAGTGCAGTAAAGTGGTCACGGGTTACAGGCGGAGACACGTGACCAGTATACTGCTCTGCCATTGGCGATAGTTCTGGTCACGTGATTTAAGTTTAAGATTTCTAAATTTTACATATATGAACTTTCGTATAATTCTAATCTAACCAAGTTTTATATCAATTTCTCGAGATAGGAACATCAGATAAAACTTTCATGGGTCGCGATCAAGAGCTAAAGTGATTAGCTTTCAGCCTATACCCCCTTTCAATTTTCCTTTACAGTCCCTTTAACAAATGTCTTTTTAGGCTTTGGATCGGATACTACAGGAGAGAATACAAAAGAAGGAAAAGGTTCTTCTATTTACGAGTACACAAGATATACTGCATACGTTACATACTTATTCTAACTTCAGAAATATTAGGTGAGCATTTTAACTCAGTTCTGACTTATTGTGTAAACCCCCCCCCCCCCCCCTCTGAAAATATAAATATAAAAACCTTTAGACTCAAATGAGAAGTTAGACAAAATGCAATGTACTCGCTTACAGATTTTGGAAATGTATTACTGATTTTAATACAAATTAATGCTAAACGAATGCGATTCCTGTAATTACAATCTATCGTATATTGTTTTGATGTGATCAGTGCTTAGGATCCGGAACTAAAAAAAATGTTTATTCAAATTTTTTATCTCTGAATGGTTCATCGAGCTTTACCATAGAAATGAGCTTTTTAAAAAGAAGAAAATAATTTAATTTTTTTTTCAAAAATCAGTGAAAAAATTAACTCATGACCTAGATTCGGATCCATTTTTTTGTGCGAATCCAGGAACCGGATACACGTCAAAATTGAAATTGATTCTGTTCACTGGATGTGAATAACTGTATTTTTATTTTCTCTACTCTAGGTATGTTTCTGTTTCTGGCGAGATGGATTTCTCTGAGAAGGTTTCAGCTATTGAACGGTTTAGTTTAGAACCAAGATATACTCTGCTCATCCTATGCGGTCTAACATCCTTCATAGGTTTAAACCTTCCACAAGGTACAATACACTACACATTAACCATTAACCATTAGACATTTCTCACTAAGCAAAATATTAAATGTTAAACATTTAAACATTTAAACATTTAAACATTTAAACATTTAAATTTAAACATTTAAACATTTAAACATTTAAACATTTAAACATTTAAACATTTAAACAATTAAACAATTAAACATTTAAACAATTAAGCATTTAAACATTTAAACATTTAAACATTTAAACATTTAAACATTTAAACATTTAAACATTTAAACATTTAAACATTTAAACATTTAAACATTTAAACAATTAAACAATTAAACAATTAAACATTTAAACAATTAAGCATTTAAACATTTAAGCATTTAAACATTTAAACATTTAAACATTTAAACATTTAAACATTTAAACATTTAAACATTTAAACGTTTAAACATTGAAACATTAAAACATTGAAGCATTGAAGCATTGAAACATTGAAACATTGAAACATTGAAACATTGAAACATTGAAATATTACGGAAGAAGGTGGAAGGTAGAACGTTTGATTGATTTTTCAATGTTTGATTGATTGTAGTTGGAACAGTGATCGAGTATGACTGGTCTCCCTTACATACAGATTTAAGCACAAGGATTTTGGGTTGGAACCCTCAAACTGTATTCAGGTAAATTTTTAGTTCTGATCACAATTAAAGTCAAAGAAATTGGTTTTAATATTTTTTGGGACATTTATCCGAAACGGGTCCTAGCATTCATTTTTCGACTTTATCACCTTGAAACAGGGGTGTATATGAGCTTTCATTGGGTTTGAGGAGAAAATGAAGAAAAAAGGAAACTGGGAAAAGAAAGGGAAAAGGAAAAAGGAAAGAGGGAAGGGAAAAAGTGTCAAGGGGGATGGGAAAAGGGGCAAGAGAGGGAAAGGAAAAGGGGGAAGAGGTAAGAGGGGGGAAACAGCATCAGATATGCTTAAATAAAAACTTAGGGGGGGGACCTAGATATTGATCTTTTTAGGGCACCAAAACGCTCCATTAAATTACAAAATCCAAAAAAAAATCTGCAAGGGGGTCTTGCCCTCCCCCCCCCTCCCCCCCAGCCATAGCAAACTTCTTGGATGTTTGCGCGAGCTTCAGAACCTGTAAAATATACCAGTTTTTAACTTATGCATTTTGGGGGGAAAATACGATTCTGAAGGGGGGGGGGGGGGGCAAAAATATGAGTCTCACAACTAATATACACCCCTACCTTGAAATTTGTTGACTTTTAAGGAATATTAAGGTTATATAGTGGTGTCTCACAAATGTTTTAAGTAGGAAAAAACTTCTTTTTTCTAATTCCAATGATCTATCCTTTCTCTAGGTTAATGTGCCGAGGTACAGTGGAAGAGAGTTTAGGCCGGAGAACTTTGCTGAGATGTGTTTTAGCTGATCTTGAAACATTAAACCAAAACACACTTAAGAAGCAAACCATTGAACACCTCCTTTACCCTCAGACAAGTGATAACGGATTCTTCTGGAATGAAAAGAAAAAGAAAGATAAGGTATAAATAATATATTTCTCATGGTTAGGGAAACCGATGAATGCTGTTTTTTTCTAACTTACTTTCATTCTCCGAGAACTTCAAATTTCCTTGTTTCTTCGATCATAGATCTGAGCTGAAAACTTTAGAATGAGATATACTTAATCCCGATTACTTCATCAGAGTATCCAATGGACACACTTTTGATTTTCTTCTTAAACCGTTCTTTCTTGGATAAAGTAAAGAATAATCAAAAACCGGTTTTTCTGAGTTAGAGAGTTCCTCCCATTTCTGTGTATAATCTCAAATAGCGCGCAAAATTTCAAATTTATCAGCTTCAAATACGTGACTCTGATTGGTTGAATTTTATACACTTTTCAGGGATACAAATACAAGATTTGATTAGTCTCGATATTATGAAAAAGAGAGGATCAAGCATTAATCTCGATATCAATCATTCAAAAGTTTTCAGCTCTGAACTATCATAAAATTCACATATTTATCAAAATAAATGATAAATAGTTTGTCCTGACTAACTGTATTTTAGTTATTCTTACAAAATGTTCTCTTGCTTTTCTATCTTACTAGGCATTTAAGGCGCTTCGCGCCTCTTCCTATTAACAATTTTAGTTTTTTAAGTAAATTAGAACGGGTTTTAAACAAAAATTTAGAAAGCTTTCCGTCCGCAATGTTTCCTAAATTGTGGAATGAAATTGAAATTGACCTTAAAGAAACTAAATCTGCAAAAATATTTAAACAACGAGTAATCAATATTTATCTTGAGAATTATGAAAGGTTTTAATGCGAAAAACCTAGCTACATATCGTGTGAATAAATTTTATATAAAAAAACTAAAATATCTGAAACTTTATTAGCTTATTTCTGTTTCTGTAACTACCATCATTAACACCCTGTATTTTAATTTATCTCTACATAAATATTTCTCTGATCTCACCCTGCCACAGATCACCTGACAATCTCCTTCCTTCCAATCAACTCCTTACCTATCCAAAAACATATCTTGATATGTGTAACCAATTATATTCAGTATCGTTAATTAACTACGGGCCAACCACTCAAAACAACCAACCCTGGTTAGGCGGGTCCAAACTGCATAGTAAATTGTGATTGCTTATTTGTAATATCTAATGCTTCGTATTTGAATAAATATATTAATGAATGAATGAATGAATGAATGAATGAATGAATAATGTCAATAATATTCATCTGTTTCTCTGACTGTCCTTAAAGCTTCCCTATGGTCATGTGAGTTGCCACAAAAAATCTGGGTCTGATCATTTCAGCCATATTGATGTTTTTTGGGTACAGACAAACAGAATAGGCAAATATGTAATTATATTTTTATCATTGTTTAGGCTAAAAACGAGATAGACGAGAAGTTGGAAATTTCCCACGTTTTCTCCTTGTTGGGGGCACCTGGTGGAGATCAACCTTCATGTATCCTCGACCTTGCAGAGTTTGATACATTCGAGGAGGACGAGTATGTGGATGAGGACGGGTTCAAGGATATCCAGCTCATGGACTGGATAGAGTCCGTCTCACCTTTGCACAGGTATAGTGTATAGATGACATACTAACACAACAATATTCTGAATTATGGCGATTTATTTTTTTTCTTTTGTCCAATTTAACTCCATTGAAATTCATAATTCCCTATCTCCTTCTTTTCCATTTTTTTTTCGTTTTCTAATCCCATTTATCTTCGCTCTGTTTTGTGATGTCCAGTGGCATAAACTATACTTTTAGCAAGTTGTTGACATATATTATTTGTTAAGGTATGGAGTAAAGCAGTTAACTTACAGTCCCTCCTTAAAATCCTTGGATCAGTGGATCAGGGAAGAACCGGAGAATAAAGAAGAGGCGAAGTTGTCCCTGGAGGTTGACATATGCCGGCGGGCTGAGAAGAGGCGAAGGGAAGAGGAGACATTTGAGTATGTCAGCTATCCTAACCATTTGTCCAACAGAGACTGGAAGGATGAGACGGGAGAACTAACCCTGTGGAAACCTCCGGGATACTTTGAGGAGATGGAAGACTACTGCACCAGTCTTCTTTACAGCACGGAGCCTATACAGGAGGAAAATCTGCCTCCTGTTTACGTTAAAAAGGAGAAGAAACATGATTCATCAGTCGGACAGATCAACTCTGTAGTCTCCTCTCCGGTGTCTGGGCTCCCTCTCTCACCTGCTGATAATAAACCGAAAATTCGACGGGATGATAATGTTACTGCTGCGCCTAAAAGCTTGTTTGATCGCCCCAAACCGTTTAAAACAATTGCTCGTCCTCGTCCACCTGGTCCTTTAAATCCAGTGTCCTTCCCTTCAACAACCCTCACAACACAGATACAGAACCAGACTATCAAGACTGTACCAAGAGAAGGGGAATATGGACCAGATTGGTTAATCCAAGAAGATTGGGCTCTTCATCAGGCAGTTATTTCTCTTCAGGAGATGCCGCTCAGTTTGAGTGCGAATTCTCCTGCGCATATTTCCAACTGGGATATGGTTTCGGATATGGTGAACGCTGTTTCTAAATGCTATAGGTCCCCCCGACAGTGTAGGACACGGTATGAAACTACAGTTTTACCCCGAGAGGAAGGAAAGATCCTCTATAATGATATCACTCCTACTAAGAAGCAGAAGAAAACTGGAAAGTTGATTAAAGGGATAGAAAAGAAACCTTCAGTAAGCAAACCAATGAAGACATCTGTTCTTTTTAAGCAGGACAATAACAACGCTTGGTCAACTCAGTTCTCTTCAAGGTTCCAAACCATTAAAGCTATTGCCAACAAAAGAACTCCGACAACTAAACCTCTCCTTGTTAACTCTACACAGAGAAATCCTAAGCATGCATCTGTTCTAGCTGAGTTTGGTGTTGACTATGACAACCCGCTGAACCCTGTTTCTGTTGCTGCTAACCGTGCTGATAGAATACTCCGGGATAAGCAGCGTAATCAGCAGGCAGCAGCACAGGCGCAGTTATCTGTTCAGCAGCCTAATGTAACAGCTGTTCCTCAACAACAACCACAACAACAACAACAGCAGCAGCAACAGCAGCAGCAACAACAACAGATGGGACTGCCTGTAAGGGTCTCTGTTGCAAATGTTTCTGCTAATATATCTGTTGCATCTTCTGGGAATATGTCAAGTCCAGCTCAAGCTGTTGTAGTTGGGATCTCCCAACCAGTCCAACAGCATATTCAGCAAGGGCAGATAGTCAGTGTTGCACAGATGAGTAATAGCGGAAGGGTTGGAGGAAATCAGACGGTTGTGACTGTTTCTGGAGTTCTATCAGGCCTGCAGACAACTTCAACTCTGACTAGATTAGCCGGAGGACAGATTGTTGTAAGCCAGACAGGTAAAAGTGTTGCTGTTGGGTCCCAGAGTGGAACACTTCAAGTTGCAGGACGGTCTCTTACTCCTGCTCAAATCCAAGTTCTCAAAACCCAAGCAATGAAGCGGCAGGAACAACAGCTTCGGGCTAGACAGCTATTACAGAACAGCGTGACTGTTTCAAGTGGTTCTGCTGCATCTGTTGTGTCTGCACTTTCAACAGCAAGAACTATTGCAGCAACAGCTGGTATAGGGCGAGGACAGATAGTTCGACCCACTAATGTGAGATCCATGACAGAACCAGAATTAAAAGCCATGTTGGCCAAGCAACAGTTAAAGGTAACAGGCCCAGGATTAGTTCAAGTCCAACCAGGAGCAAGCTTGAGTACTGCTCAGCTTCAACAACTTGGAATTCAGGTTGCAACAGCTTCTCCAGGTACTTCAGCACTTGTCAAGGCTGGAGGGGTTCAGCAAGGGAAATCGGTTACAATTCCTATCACAGGAGTAAACTTACAAGGTGGACAACTAAAGCAGGTTGCAGGTCGAGGCACCGTCATAAACCAGAACGTTCCACAGATTCAACAACTTCGACAGTTGATGATGAGAAAGCATGGAGTTCAGCAGAAGGTTGCTCTGCAGCAGGTTGGGGGGAAACTACCTGCACAACTGATTGTTCAAGGACAACAGGGTAAAGGTCTTCCTGCCACTGTTACGGTTCAACAATTACAACAGATTGTAAAAAGTGTGGCAGGAAGCGGCCAAGGGCAAGTTCAGATCGGCACTGTGGCAGGTACCGGTCAGCAAATTATAAGCCATGCTGTCCTAACAAAGCCTGGGTTATCTGGCGGTCAGACTGTACAGGCTAGGGTTATCCCTGTCTCCGGCACAGCAGGGAGAGGTCAGCAAACTATACAAGTGTTAACTGCTTCACCTGGGGGTATCCGAGGAACTGTTCCTAATGTTACTCTAGATGCTCTTAGTCGACAACAAGGTGGAGCTGCAAGTGCGATAGCATCAGCTTTAGCTGCAGGAAATCATGTAAAGATTGCTGCTCCTGGAGGAGCTACACAACAACAAATACTTTCCCAGGTTACAGCAGCTTTAGCTGGGCAGACGGGTCAGCCTGTGTCTGTAGCTGTGAGAACCCCTGGTAATGTTAGTACCATTACTCAACAGGGACAGATAATACAACAACAACAGGGTCAACTCTCTCAAGTAAATCAGATCACACAAGGTCAGATGTCCCAGCAAGTTCACATTACCCAGGGTCAGATAGTTCAACAAAACCATGGTTCACATGTTCGAGTTTCCGCCAGTAATCCACATCTTGTTAATCTTCAGCTTAATGTTCAACCTAGTGTAAGCTCTGCAGTAAATAGTAACCAGACCAATCAAAATCCCGAGTCCGGATAAAACATCAACCGGATTTCTAAATTGACTCCAACAACAGAAATGAGTGTCCCGACGTTAAAACCAATGAAATTCGAATGTTGTCAAAATATCAACATGAATATCAAATATCATTGTGCATCAAAGTTAAAGCAATGAACTATGTCAGTGCACTAGACATTGTATTATTCCATTCCATGCTTATCGCCTGCTCCCCCAGTTCTCGCTAGTGAATACATTCAGATCATTTTGCTGTGCAAAATTCAAGTTTTTCAATTTAACGGGAAATTTCTTCGACCCCATAACCCCCCCCCCCCTTATGAAAGGGGACAAGTTCCAACATTGGGCATTGTTCTTTGGTGATGTATTAGTAGTATATAAACCTAAAATGCTCAACTCCTGAATGTATAAACCTTTAAACACTGTTTAAATCCTTGTTCTCCTAGTACAATAGGTTCAGCCTCTCGTCGATTAGTTTTATAAATTTTTCTATTTAAATTTTTTTTAATATTCAGAATTATTAAATAGGTACATGTAATGTGTTATTTTACAATTAGTGTCACCAGGGTGTGCTACGAAAAACTTTTTAAAAAATGCCGTTCTTCCCAAAAAAAGGATTCCATTATTCTTAGAAATCTCCCAGCTTATGGTACAAAAGGTTAAGGATTAATGGATGTTTGACAGAATTTTAAAGACTTTAATTAATATAAAATTAATCCTGGGCCTGTCATGTACACTCGTTACCTTTCTACTGATAGCGTTTAAATCGTAGCAAAGTTTAGCGTACGTTTTACGCAGATATAGAAAATAGCAGGATTTTCTGTTCATTGTTAAATGTGATATCTTAATCTGTACTTTGTACTGTGTGTACTCAGGTTCTGTACCGTGCGTCTGCTGTTACATGAAATTTGTCGTTGCGGGCAGACTAGCTCGATCTTTTCAACAGAAATATACTATGTACTGTTATGTATACTGTACAGTTAACACTTTACAGAAATACATGTGTACATGTTAAATTACCGTATTGTTCGGCAAATTAACCTAAACTAAAGCGCTTAAATAAATTGTAAATTATTAACGGATGTTTTTTTAGTCATATTATACAAAATTGTAAATATTTTATTCAAATAATTTTATTTATTTGATTGGATTTCTTGTAACAAAATTTGAATGACATTTCTTTATTAATTTTAATTTCTATCAATCAAGGGACAGAATCAAAAGCATTGAAGCTATGTGTCGTTGAACTACCAACTGCCGGTTGTATTATATTATTTTTATTTGGAGAAAGTATTTCTTTAAAATAAGTTCTTGAATTGGATTGGGTTCTTGTGACGAAATATTTCAAAACACTTATTGTTCAATTCTAATTTCTATTTTATTTTCTTTTATGACAGGTTAGGTTTAGTTAAGCTTAGTTAAAGCCAAAGGTACTGAAAAGTTTTCTACTGAAGACAAAAAGCTAGACATAATCTGAAATAACTTACAAATGTAAAAACGACAACATCTTCCACATTATTACAGACAATGATTTCAAGGGTAACCGTTGTAAATCGAGAACATCTTTGTATGAAAGGTCACTTGAAATAACGCTTACATCGCTTAAATTAAATTCTTAATTTGGATTTTTTCAATAAAATTGCTCAAATCCACCTCATTCAGGCTTTTGCTTTTTTTAGTAAATGAAATCACTAATGACTATTATGAAATCACTGATGACTATTGCAAGCCAGAAAAAATGTCGTCAGAATGAATTAGGATGGGTGATGAAAACACGGAGTTCAGAAACAAATTCGTTAAAATCCTTTAAAAAGTAAGCTAAAGACTGTTTTTTTTAAAGATATTTGTCAGAGTATCGAGAAACCTTAGGCATAAATAAAACAATTTTTGAAATATCTTAAAATCGATAAATGGGAGGTGTTCAGCGGTTCAAAACGCATCTTTCGATGAAAATTCAACATGTTTTGAGAAAATTAAAAAATTGACCTTCCCTTAGGATCGCTGGGTTTTCTTTAACAAATGTTACTTCTAATATGATACTACATTGCTGCAAAAAGGATTTGACGAATTTGACATTTTCGATAAAATAGTCTCGCCCTTAATATTGGAATAACGGAGTGTCCATCTGAACTTTATGATTTAAAGTCAGTTCATAGTAAATTTAATTATAGATTCTCTAAGTATTAATCGTGCAGTAATGGTAAATTCGGAGTTGGGTCATTTTATAGAAAGAAATTTCATAAATAACAAAACTTTAGATAGGACATTTCAAACAGACAGAGTAGATTTTTCCTAGATAGACACTTTCTAAGACACAAAAGCAATTTTTTCAGAGACGGTTTCGGGTAGGTAATAAAATTGTGTCACAATTTTAGAAAATGTGATTAGTTGACTAAAAAGAAATCATCAGTATAATATGTTAACAGTTTAAAACAAAAATATGAATAATATGTGCAGGGGGGCTCTTAATATTACATCTGCTTGCATTTCCCTTCCTTAGGCAATCTACATTCTACATCGCATTCCTTTAAAGTTCACAAAGCAGATTAATTAATAAATAATCATTCAAAAGGATTAAAGTGAATGCAGACATAATTTAAATTCTTATTCACAATAGAATAAAATTTTATTTTTGGAAAAAAAACTCCCTAATTGTTTTTAAAGATGTTTAATGCTGATGAGTTCTGTGGAATGTTGTGAAATGTTTGGGTCTACCGTAACATCCAAAAATAATTTCAAGGATGCTCGAGGGGAGGAAAACTTAAGCTGCCAATTTTTCCAGAAGCTATTCTGAGTTAAAGCATTTTTTTGAAATGTCTTCTTTAATCAAACAATACTCTACAGAGCTGAGCTTTGTACAATTACTGCATTAAATATCCAAGTTTACCAATTTAAAAACTGATAATTTTTATTTGTGGTTTCTCTACAATTAAGTGACTCACATTTCTTGCTTCAGAAACAATGAAGAAATGAAGGTTTAACGGTACATCGGACATGCCACTCTATAAATGGAGGGTCACTTGAAATTTTGCATGTATTCCATTAAAGAATAATTACATCGTATAATTAAAAATACTTTAAAAACACACTTTTTGCCCTTAACTAAAAAAGTTTCATTAAAAAAGCTTTAATCAATACTGCCTTTGGTGTAAACATATATTTAAAATCGTTATTTATAATACAATATGTATCAATCCTATGAAAATATAGATATTTTTTAGAAACATTTCCTTTTCTGTCTTTCACCCCTGAAAGCTTACACCACAGTTTTAAGCGTGAGTGTCTCATTGGACCACCTGAGAAAATTATACAGAAATAATTTATTAAAATTGTAATAATTGTATATCATCGAATAATTTACATAGTTAAAAACAATGCTTAGGATCCGAATCCGCAAAATATGCGGATCCACGGATCCGTATCCAATGGGTAAATTATCTACCAAAAACTGCAAAAAAAAAATTTACTCCTAAAACCCAAATCTGAACTTTTGAAAAAAGAGAGATTTCCTCATTTTTTGAAGTACGAGAATCTAAATACATCAGAGATTTTATGACTGAACTCAGAGGAATGAACAGAAAAAAATAGTTTTATTTAATTGTTAACTGTAATTCAGTATGTTTTTGAAAAAGAGTTTTTTATGTCCAATTCTTTAAAAGGTTTTAAATACCCCTCCTTAAACAAGCCGTTCCCCCCCCCCTCCCCCTCCCCCGACTCACGGAAAAGTTCGTTAATTAGATCGACCCCCACCCCAACTCAAAATTCACACATCTACACAGTTTGTTTTTAATCTTTGTGAAGAAACAATCTCAAGGAATAATAATTGTCTAAAAACATTTTTTTAGAAAGTGAATATTTGCAAATTATCTTTTTTCCATCTCATAATCTGAGTCCTTTCCCTTATGTCCATTTGACAGCCCAAATTTTTATTCTGAATAATCTTTTTGTTTGTTTATATTCTTGTGATTTTTCCAATTTTTTATTTTTTTTATCGATTTTGATGGTTATTATATCGTTAGAACTGACGAGGGTCAACCCAGACCGAAATATATTTTCAATAAATGTGGAACTAACATCTACTTTTTTACTCTACAGAGGTTTGGTCCATCACCATCACTGAATTTTAAATTTTTTTGAACGGTTCATTTAGTTTTAGAAAAAAAGTAAATCAAAAAACTTGAATTTTTTTTTTATTCAGTAAATCTTAAAGAAATGACCTGGATCTGGATCCAGATCCATTTTTTTCTAGTGCGGGTCCGGATTCGCATCAAAATTAAATGGATCCTAAGCACTGGTAAATAAGGTATCATATTTTTTCAAAAAAGGGGTTTTTATGGGGGGGGGGCACATAAAAAATGTGGCCCTCTTACACAAATGTTCTCGTACGCCCCTGAAGTTGTGAAGTAAAAATCAGAGCAATCGTAGAAGTAACAGGGTATGACTTCAGGGGAAATTAGCTCCAAAGCTAACACTTGGCCCATTTCTATCACTGAGTGTTAATGGGTCAAATCTGCAAAGTTATCTTTTTCAAGCGTAAATATCTTCAAATTTATGCCGAGTTAAACAAAACTTCACCATACACTTACAGGAAGTGGCTAAAACGTGATTCCAATTCAGGATAAGTTCGAAAATGGAAAACCTGACATTTTCTCGGAAACGGTCAAGGGTTTTCATATAAAAAGAACTCCTTTTACGATTTTAATATAACAAAGTAGTTTAAAATTCGTAATTGTTGTCCTTTTGATACTTTATAGAGTCATTTACTGTCATGAAAGCCAAGCAAAAGTGAGTTAGTTTTCCATTATATCCCTTAAAAGATCTCTTTATTTATTACGTTTCAATTTTTACTTTTAACTTTTAATTTTTGATTTTCGATTTATTCTTTAATTAATTTTTATAAACTGGAAATGTTTCAGGAACTGAATTGGAGACAACTGGAACATGTCAATTGTTGGATAAATGTTCTTGAAGGACTTTCAGCATTCACTTTTTATTTTTTCTCTATTTATTTATTTATTGTAATAACCCCGTTTCTTAAACAAAAATGTGTTCTGGCTTTTATTTAAAAAGAAAGACCAAAATGTTAATCTGTAAACCAAAAAGCTCACAAAACTCAAGGATGATCATTCTAGGTAAAAACATGGAAAAAGCTTACTCCAGCAGAAACCAGTTCCAAGCGTTAAAAACATTATATAATTAAGGGGTTTTTTTTGTGGAAAAATTATTATCTTTTACAAAGTTATAAAATTAAATGCTGAAGAGTTCTGTGGAATGATAAGAGGTGTTTCGGTCTACCGTAACATCCAGAGATGATTTCAAGGATGCTCGAGGGGAGGAAAACTTAAGCTGCCTTCTTTTCCAGAAGAAATTCTGAGTTGAAGCATTTTTCGAAATGTCTTCTTTATATAATTAATATGTAGGTTGTAGTTTTTATTTTTGACTTTTACTCTTAATACAGGCCGGGATCCTAAAATACCAGTTTTTCAATTTGTGCCTATTTCTAACAATCATTTGGAATTGTTTCCCATTCACCGTTAATTAGATGAGTTTCCAAGTTTTTGCACCATTCGAACAATATCTCTGGATTTCCATCATATTTGGGAGCTCTTTCAATGAAGCCCTGTACCCTTTCTCTTGTACTATCTACGATACCACACATCTCTTCGTGTTAATCCTTGGCTGCTTCCCCTGTTTCCACTACTTGTAGATGTTCCATGCGTTGTTGTGATTTATCCATCTTCTTGTTCTGGGTTTGCAGATTAGTGCTGTTACACAATGTGTATTACAGGCAAAGAAGAAAGTTCCAACTCGCATCACATAAAGATAAAATCTAATTGTGTTTCTTTTTTCTAGTTAAAATTTTGTGTTTATTATTATTATATGTATATATGTTTCATGATACTGCAGCTAAACAATGCATTGTTATTTAACTACTTTAATATGGAAAAAAAAACTCACAAACATTTTCAAAAAAATGTTGAAAACTTCAGTTCAGGAGTGTTTAAAACTGGAAAATATATACTACGTATATATAATACCTATAATGCTAGCTTGGGAATCCAGAGTTCCCCAGTGATC